CATGCCTGCCCACCCAACCACCCCCACAACTGCCCACCTCCACTCAACCAAACAATTCAGATTTTGTCTTAAAAAGTCTTAACTCACAACTCTTATATATAATACACTAAAATATAGTATATAAGATATATTATATAAGATATTATATAATATATATAAAATAATATAAGAATATTTTAGTGTATGTGCATGTGGGTGCATAGCCTCACCCACACACGCACTAAAATATACAAGGCTACATACAGATAAATTAAGCAGAGTACAGAAGAACCAAGTGAAAAATCATCAAAGGAGCCGACTTCAGCAGGAGCAGAGTCGCCCGCAGCCACCAGGACACAACACAGGCCCCGGGGAGAGACGAGGCACAAACACCAACTCTCCACCAGACGAGCCGTGAAGCCCCCAGCAGCCACGGCCAACCACCGCTCCCAGCACAGAGGACTCTTACAGAGAAACACCGGAGCTTCTACAACTGCTTTAAAAAGGAAAGAACTTTCTTTCCATTTATTTATTTATTTGCTAAAATTGTTAATAATAATTCATTAATAATAGCTATAAAGCTAAAAATCTGGGTCCTGAGCCTGCTCTTATTGTGACATACAAATGGTGATAAAAGTATGTATCAGTGTCTCCATGTGACACTGGGCATGTTTTTGAGGTGATGTTTTGTGGTGTTTTGAATGTATGAGTCAAAAATGATGCCCAGGTTTTTCACTTGTGGAGACCGTGCTTGTAGTTTCTGTCTCTGGGCTTCAGGACCAATAACTAAAACCTCAATTTCTGGTTTCTGGTTAAGCTGGAGAAAGTTTGATTTGATGTCTAGGATGCAGTTAAAGAGAACATTCATTGCTAAAGTTAAAAGAATAGTGTGGTTTACTGTGTCAAAGGCACCGCTTAGATCCAGCAGAACCAACAATGTCTCCTTTTGTGAATCATACTTTACTCCAAAATGATTTAAAAGTGTTGACATGGCAGTCTCAGTGCTGTAGTTCATTCTAAAACCAAATAGATTTTTATCAAAAAAATCATTTAGTTGGTTCAAAAATATGTTTCTGAAGATTTTGCTTAAGAATGGTAAGTTAGACACTGATCTGTAGTCGTTAAAATAATTTAAATCAAAATTGCCCTTCAGAAGGAGCCTCACCACTTCTGCTTTAACAGCAGCAGGAAAGATGTCCGTCTGCAGAGAGCAATTCATCACGTGTAAAAACTCCTTTTTACACGATCTATAAAATGTTTTTAAAAGTGAAATTGGAATTGGGTATAAAAGAGAAGAGAAAACTCTGATCATCCCCATGATTTGGTCTGCATGATCCTCGCAACCGAAGTTAGAGGAGGTTAACTGAAGTAGTTTACTGCTCGCGTTGGAAAGATGCTCAATGGTCAAATGAGCTTTAGGATTATTTTTGTTGCCTGTGATGTAGGTGATCTCCTGTTCCACAGAGTGGCCCCAGTTGTGGGTTGGTTGTGTGACTGTAAAATACAGTTGAAAACATTTAAAAATGAGTTTAAAAATGTTTTGTTTTTCTAAGTTATTTACAATAAGAGATGTGTTCGTCTTAAATGCTTGAATGTAGCTCAGATGCTTGTCTTCTGATTGTTTTCTGTTTTCTGTTAAAACTTTTATATTATCAACATACCGCTGATACTCTATATTATTTTCGTCAGATGTGTTTGAAGCTAGAAGGTCTCTGGTGGTGCTTCCATCTCTAACAAAGAAATGCTGCTGCTGACTTATTATTATTATTTTTTTTTTCTTGGACAAACCAGTGTAAAAAAGTTTGTCTTTGCAAATTACATGATGTGGAACTACATCTACCTCAATCACAAACTTTCCAGATGGGACAACTTCCACAAATCGAGGAGGTCTGACACATAATATTACTATGTGTTGGTGCTCATCCCCAAACCACTTTTCAATAGCCCACAAAAGCTTTTCTTCGTATTCCTCTCTCTCGTTGCTGTGAACTGTAACACCATAAATTCGTCCCTTTTCTTCTATTCCAAAATGTATTGTGCCATTGGTGTGACTGTTCAGACAGGCAGCTAGAAACGGGATAACTTCATCCACAAACAGTTTAGTTTTTACATTCAGTTCCATGTTTGTCGTGTTTGTAAATGCTCTAAATTCATGACAGGGCTCAGTTAAGTCTGATGGATCAGCTTTTCCTACACTGAGAATGTGTCCCTCAACATAAGGAACAAGGGCAGCATGCAGACCAAACGGATGGGGATCGCACAGTATTTCTTCAGCTTTTATTTTATTATTTCTTGCATTAACTATGAGTTTGGGTGGTTCAAATTTTACTCCCATTTGAATCAAGATGTTTTGTAATATTTGTTTAAAAATAGTGTATTCTATATTTTCTGTATGCAATATATTATAAATATTTTTATATAACTTCAATTCTTGCAGTTTGTAGCTGTTTGTCAGGTGCTTCTCTTCTGATTGTTTTCTGAGTTCTGATAAATCTTTAATATTTTCAACAAACCACTGGTGGGTTTTTTGTTTGTCTTCTGTCAGCAGAGTTCTGCTGCTACTTCCATCTCTAACATAGAACTGTTTATTTTTTGTTTCAGCATCTTCAGTCTTAGTTTTGGACAAAAAGGTATAAAAAAGTATGTCTTTGGTAATTATATGACAAGGAACTATATCTACCTCAATCACAAACTTTCCAGTGGGGGTAAAATTCTTCTTGAGAACTTCCACAAATCGCGGAGGTCTGAAGCATTTCATTGCTGTTTCATGATTCTCAAAATACTTTTTAATACCAATCCTTAGTTCTTTATCATATATTTTTCTCTCGTTGATGGCATCTAGAACACCATAAATTTCTCCATGTGGTTTATTTAATATTCCAAAATGTATTGTACCATTGGACCGTTTGTTCATACAGGCAGCTCCAAAGTGGATAACTTTATGCACAAACCTTGGGATTTCTGTTTGTTTCAATGCTTTGAATTCATGACAGGGCTCAATTAAATCTGATGGACCAGATTCTGATACACTGAGAATGTGTCCCTCAATGTAAAAGAAGGAGGCATCATGCTGATCAAACGGATGGGGATCCCATAGTTCATGTTGAGCTTTTATTTGATTATTTCTTGCATTAACTATGAGTTTGACTGGTTCAGATTTTACTCCCAAAAATAAAGTAATAAAGTCAACATTAAGTAATATGCTATATAATATATTTACTTCATAGATTTTAAAATTATAATGCATATATATATAATATTCTTCAATTTGATTCAGGTCTTTATCTAAACGTTTAAGGCTTTTTCTTATTATTCTTATTTTCTTCTTTTCTGATGTTCTGGTTGAAGAGTATTTTGGCTTCTCCTTCTGGCGAAGGTTCCATGTCTTCATTCTGAAGAAAACAAATCAAAGGTGCATGAAGTAATTTTACTGCACTGAAAAAACAGTCCGAGAGGGGTTGCTCAAATTGCAAAAACAAATTTGACAACAATAACATCACTTTTTTACGTTTCTCTGTCAAGCGTGTTTAAATCTTACAAACATTGCTTGATTGTGGCCGATGTGAGACCTGCATGTTTTAATCAGGTTGAGGAAGCATGACTTTATTATAATCTCTGGTGAGGCTCCTCCCTCTGGAATCCTCCTCCCCAAAACTTTTGGAGGGAAAATTCAAATGTAACAGGACACAGGACAGATACAGGAGCAGAGACACACAGTGTGGAGCAGGAGGATTATGAGAACTGATCTGGAGGTGAGACTTTTCAAAGATTTTATTATGTGCTTCTCCGGCCTAGAATGTCGTCATTGTTAAAACATGTTTGTGTTGTTTTATTTGAAATTAGAGTTAATGTAAGGACAGCTTGAAACAAATTGTTTTTGACTGTCCATCTACAAGAGTGTGACACTTGTACTAAGATTTTAATGTGTTTGTTCCAGAGTCGTCTACAAACACAGAGTGACGTCCAGAGTTCTGCTGGAGCTGTGGGGAAGTTCATGAATGTTATAGTTGATGTTTCAGAAAAAAGGAAGATGTTTGAGAACCAACAAAACACAAACCACAGATGAACAAAGTAAGTAAACCAACTAAAATTATTTTAAATTTTTTCAAAATGAACTTCCCATTGAAACTGTTATCATACTTGTACAAGGTGATGTGACACTAGGAGACTTTATACCAGATGCCCTCCCTGTTACTGTGTTTAGAGGAAGAAAAGCAGCACATGGTGAGTTTTGTTTCTGCAGATACAGTTCTAATGTTCTTGTGATTCTGTTCTGGTCCATTATTGTAGTAATAATTGCTATAAGTGTTGTAGGAGCCTAAACCCAGTTTGGAGTATTTTCATTATTGAGATAATTATTCTTATTTTGTTTGATTTAATGTTTACTTAAAATGCATGATTTTTGGTATTTTGGTGGTTCTTTATGGTTAACATGATTATTTGTTGATTATTTGTTACAAAGTAATTTGATCTATTTATATTTTTTCTTTAACTAATTATTTCTAATGTTAATCATAAGTTTATTTAAGTAATGTTTATTTTTTGTATTATTTTGTGGTCTACGGCTCCCTATTTAAGATGTGTGCAGGTGCACCAGGAGAGGGTGGAGTGGAGCCAAACAGTTTTTTGACCTCCTGTCACCTACACGTTAAAGTTCCCCTTTTTGTTTGTATCTGTTTGTCCTATAAAGTGAATCCGCAGTAAAGAGTTTTTAAATTGCATTTGGATCGCTGTTCGTGGATTCTTTCATTTTTGAGGCATTTTAAAAGGTGGAACAAGGTGTGCAAAGCGTCAACTATGGCTTCACAAATGTTTGGACCTTACAAGTGTATTTAAACATGTACAACAGAGTAGATCATCAGAATGTGATCATCATGTGTTATTCCTGTGTCCACAGGCAGAGACCAGAGCTTCTTCATTGGAATAAATCTTCACACTGTCCAGCTCCAAACTGTGTGTCTCTGTACTTGTGCCTCTTTGTGTTTGATTCTGTTTAAGACAAAACAGATCTGTGGAAAACTAAAGACTGTTTTTGTATTCTTTTACAAAATTAGATAAATTAAATTAAATTATACATATTTATACATTTCATGATAAGGTACCATAAGATAAATATGCATATTCAGCATGATTTGTTCAAATTTCATCAACATGAAAAAGTGATGTTCATGTTCCGAGAAAAATATGTGTAGAGGGGTTCGAAAAAAGTTTCAAAGCCTAAACATAATTTTATTGCGTGCAACCGCTGTCCATAACTTTTTTACGCAAATCCAGCAACTTTTTTTTTTCAGTGTGGTGTGGGTCCCAGTCCTGGACACATGTTCTAACACTGATGGTCTCAGCAGTCTCATTAATGTGATTCAATTAAAATGTCACTTAAAGATGCACAATGAAACTGCAAGGAAACAGCATCTCCATGAGAAAACACTGTGCACTTTGTTACATTGAGCACCTTTAAGAAACTGTAAAATATTATTATTTTGAGGCTGCTAAGATAAAGTTGACAATGCAGCGACATGTGTTCAAAACCACAAAAACAAAAACATAAAAAATGAACACACAGAAAACGAGAGGTGATTTCAGAATGTTTCAGAGAACACTGTTCAGGCTGTAATTTGGAGATAGAAGTAAAACAAACTTGGGACATTGTCCTGAGGAAGTCGGACTGCAGATGGCGCTGTCGTCCTCCCTCCTCCAGTAGATAAACTCTAAGAAATAATCTATAAACCACCACTGAAGAGGCTTCATACTATGAGGCAAAAGTCCTCAAAATATCGTGTATAAACAATAAACAGGAAAGTGAAACCCGTGATAGGCTGCAGGAATCCCTATAGTGTAAAATCGAGCCTCTCTGCAATAATTGGGTCCATTCACACAAGACAAGACTCTTAAGGCTGAAATATAGTTCTGCATCGACTCAACGCGCACTGCCTTGTCGCCGTCGTTTTTGATTTATGGATCTGCGTCGAGGTCTGTGCACCGCGAAGTAATTCACTGCCAAAACGCTAGGGGGCGACGATATCTGTCCATTCATATATACGGTCTGTGTGTATGACCCGCAGACGTATAATCTCTGAAAAGTTTAACATGAACCATCTCTAACACGATAAAAGCACAGAACAGACTCAACATTAGTACAATGTGACTCTGTCACAGAAAGAACATTCATATTCCACTGAGTCGTGTCCTTTTTAAGTCCGAGAGAAGCTGACCGCTACCAGGAGCGAGCTGTTTTATGAGCGCTTTGTTTATGCAAGTTAGACATGCAGTTTTAAGTTTCGTTTCTGTAAAACATAAACACATATGCGCAAAGCTGCATTAAACGCATTATTTGTCAATATATACTGAAAGAAAGAAAAGCTGACAGGAAATGTAAACAGAGCGGTGGTATGGAGGACCAATCACAGCTCTTATCGTCTGCGTCGCTTCCCCTGCGGTCTGCGGCGTTTTGACGTGTAGTTAGAACATTTCGGAGGTGCACGTCGGTCGACGCAGATTTGACGCTGGACCGTAAAGTGGCCTTCAGAGTCAGAGGGCTGTGCTGCCCCCTCATGTGAAGCATCCAGAACAGTCATGTTCCACTGACTCTCATTTGCCACTAACATGTACTAATGTGATTCTGTTTTGGTCATTTACATTTGGTTTGAGATAAAATAATCAGTTCTGTAAATATAGTGTGTTTACAATATTCATATTTGTCACATCATTTTCTTTTGGTTTATTGCACATACTGTTAAAAAAAATAGCCTGGTCCAGTTACATTTTCTTACTGGTCTGTTAAAAGAAAAAAAGTTATGTACAGCGGCGTGATGTCTGTATGTGCAGTGTATGAGGATTCTGAGCAAAACTGAAATGTAAAATAACAAACTCCATCCAGCCTCATCATTTGTGTCCGTGCACACACCACAATAATTATAATTTGTAATTAAGCATGTCAGTAAGAAATCTTGTACTTACCTTTCTCGTAGATCTGCTGAGACACTGTCTGATCTTTGTGGGCTCACGAGGTGAAGACACTGCGCTGTAAGAAACAGAAAAAGAGTCAGAGCACCGTGGTTTTCACATGGGACAGATTTTCACCACCGCAGCTGCAGTGGGAGATTCTGACTGTGTACTGGCTGAACGGGTAACTCACAGATTTCCTGCCCTACATCATCATGTTTTATACCAACATGACGTGGTGGTTGTGTTGGTTTGTACCGGTCACTGTGCAGTTTGTGTCTCTGCTTTACTGGAGCGGCCTCAGAGGAGCGGGACGGTCTGATCACACACACACACACACCAGCCACACAAAAATCCATTATTTAAGGCTTTTTAGCGTCATACTTAAGCCCTAAATGTTTAATTTTTGTTTGCTGCATAAATATATGGAGATAGGTTAGTGTTTTTATTATCAAATAAATATTACGCCAGTCACAAATACAAATCTTGGTCCAGAAACAAATATAACGCCATTCACAAATATATTTAATGACTTACAAATAAATGTAAAAACATTCACAAAAGCATTTCTTGACTCAAAAGCAAATGTTCCGTGATTCACACACGTCAGAGCAGTTACATTTATTTGTGGATTTTTGAGACCTTTCTGACACGTTTGATGCACTTAAAAAAAAAAAAAACAGCCAATCACATCAACTGAAGTTTGAGCGCATTGTTTATGGTTTATGGTTTATGGTTTATGGTTGGTATGGTTTTATGGTCTATTGCGCGCAGTAGTAGTTTGAATGCGACTGACTAACATTAGAGACTTGCGAGTCTGACAACTCAGACTAACATTTGCTAAACGTTAACTAAATGCTTTCAAATACTTTAAATTAAGTTCAGTCACGAATAAAAGACTTTAAACAAGTTCAATCACGAGGAGATAAACAAGTTATACTTACAGTTGAAGAAACTTCCCACCATTTTCACCTGTCAACCTAAAAACTATGTCGAACCTCTGGACCAAACTACTACACTGAACTACACACACACGCACACACAGACGCGCGTGTATTAATATACAATTTATATTAATATTAAAAAGTCATCATTTACCGTCAAAAAGTTCGGTGATTCCTGAGGTGTCCCGGAAGAGAGCGGCAGGAGAGTGAAGTGGGCCTAGCACCAGATGACACAGGTGTGATCCCAGCGTAACCAGATGTAATTCTTTTGGGATACACACAAAAAATAAAGGTCCCAGGACCTGGCTGTGTTTCTCTACTGGAAAGCTGATCTGGGAGCTCTGGGAACTTGACTGGGAGCGTTTAGCCACTTGTATCGCTCGGGTACAGGCAAAATATGCGTGCAGTGGAGCCAAGCCCTGTTCTGTTCAAAGTATCGAGTTGTGCTCACAGTTCTCCTCAATTTTATATAAAATGGGTGAGAGGGAGGAGAGAGGATATAAACTCCTCACTGAGACCAATCAAGTTTGAGTATTTTATCTGATGTCAGTCTGCCTCCTGAAGCCTCCGTCACGTTTACTCCTTCATGCCGGTTTTTTTCGGTTTCCTTGGCGAGAAAAGAGAAATGAAACTCGACCACAGAACTGCGGTGTTTGTTGTGCTACGCATATGCCGTGTAACCACAAAGACTAGACTACAAGGGCAAAAATAAAAACTTGGAACAGCACATAAATGTCTATATGAGCCTAATATGATTGTTTATTGTCAGAGTAAATAAAATAAATAAATAGATAATTAATTCAAGTTAAATTAATAAATGAGCTTTAAATGGGTGTCCTGTTGAAATGAGCTCCCCGCAGCCTACATCGACAGTGACTCTATCGATTCACGCTACCCCACTGAAATAAGCTACTTTACGTTTTTCGTGTACAGTTGTATATACAAATAAAGCAAACCTAACCAGTTTTACAACATATTTCTCTGGATTAGAGACAGCAGGTTTGATGCTGTTTGCACATGGTGCTCACACTTTAAACTTTAGTTACGTAAAATTTCAAGTCATTTATATGGATATGCATAGTTCATTTGGACAGTTGTATTTTGCTCAAATAGGGCTCCGACTAAAGAGAGCACATACCGACAGGCCAGTCGTCCCATTGTAGAATCACCATTATTCACTCATTTATATGAATTTGGGTAGAGGTAGCTCATTTTGACAGGCCTATATGTTCTCTCAAATAAGGCTCTCACTATGTAAGAGAAAGAAACACTGAAATCTTTATATTAAATAAATATAATTCGCTACAGTGTGAATTTTCTATTATAATATAGTGATATTTTATTTATACAGCACCTTTCTAAACAAAGTTACAACTTTTTCTACACATGGAAACAAAATAAAATATGATGTAATGAAAATTATAACAATAAACAAAATCAAATATTAAATCCAAATATTCAGTCATTTAACGTAGGTTTTCTGCTGCAAATCAAAATATGCGTAACTGGTCAAAACAATTAAACCAAAACACTTAAAATGTGACTTGTTACTCCACTTCTGCTCAAATCGACGGGTAGGCCATTTAGACAGCTGACACCTGACTGTAAGATTATTATGGAGGCATATTAGCTATTGTGGAGAGGCTAGATGTGTTCACACAATTCTTCATGTGTCTAACATGTCTCTAACTTTTATTTGACAAAATCACCTCATATTAGTGAAGCAGAGCGGCGTTACTTTAATAGATCCATGAGCAGGAACAACTCCGCTCATCAGAGGCCACACTTCCCCTGCCACACTGTCAAAGATAAACTGGTGTCCAGGCGCGTTCCTTCCTCCTCTTTCTTCATCTCACATTTATCCCATTAAAATCGCTTAAGATCTCTAAAAGTAAGTTAGACCAGACCTAAGCGTGTAAACTTTCTTGTTAGCTCTTTGCTCTGGTGATGTGGGCTCTGTCCGTTTGGAGAAACAGGAGAATGTGATGGTCATAGGGACGAGTCCCCCTGAATCCTTCAATTTAGCCCAAAAGGAGCACTATATTAATACTCTGCAACACTTAAAAATAATTTATTATTGATGTATTATAAAATGTAATATTAAAAAGAAGTCCTAAGGTGTAGCTGCTGTCGTGGCAACTGTCATACATTTGAGTTCATGTTTTATAATATTAAATTATATTCATATTTATATATAGTAAAACATTTTAAAATATATAGCATAAATAAGTGCATTTTTCTGTAAGTTCATGTTAATTAATTTAATTTAATTTTGGTTGATTTGCTCCACTTCCAATTACATATTGTTTCGAGGGGAAGTTTTTATGGCTGCACTGCCTTAATTGAGAGACACGAGGAGCTGCACTCTGTCCTCTGAGCTAAAAGGACATTTTATGTTTTAAGTTAAAGGTTTTCAAAAGCATCAAGACTTTATTCCCTTGAGTGGATGTGGCCCATTTTGTGTTATTTTATTGTGTAATTACTTTTCTGACCGCATGCGTCGGCATTAAGGTTCATTTACATGTGAAGACATGTGAAAGACTCCAGTCCGAATAAATGCTTGTTAAAACCAAAGAACGATTTTGAGCCTTGTTTAAAGTCGAGGGGAGTAACATAAGGCCTTGGTCTCTGATTACCCAGGCTTGTCTTTTGGTAATAAAAGTTTGTAATAATAAGCATAAGTGGCCAGAACAGAAGACGCGCTGTGGAGAATATGGAGAATGAAACCTGATGATTTAACACGCCCAGATCAAACCAAGAAAAAACACAAGGCCATTTGAGAAACAGTCCGACTGTTTTAAATGTGACCTGTTACGGGCTTGGATAGTTCTGGATAGTTCTGTAGTTACAAACACAAACCCAGCCCACAGGAAAAGGTTTATGAAGAAGTCACGTGTTTTCTTATCAAAGGCCTTGCCTATTTATAATCCAGTTAGTGACATTGACTCTGTCCATCCGCACTGAGATGTAATATATGTATATGATATGTAACAATATATGTATAAGATATGTAACATAATAATGAGAGCTGTGTCAGTAGAATCTATTATGAATGTTTGTAAACCCTGTATTTTTTAGAAGAAAAAGAAAAAGACACAAACAATAACAATAAACTCAAATAACACAGAGACCTGAGTGAAGAGAGCTGTATAGGATTAAAGACATACTGTGGAACATTCAAGGCAAAGCAATACATCTTCTAATAACTCCTATCTACAAAAGTTACAGGGAGCGGTGGTGGGCTGTGGTTGTTGAGACGTTTGGTCTCTAGGCCTCGTCTCTCCCGTTTGCCCTGGTCCTGCCCTCACCGCCTTACAGTAATAAACAAATACAAAAGCATTATTATAGAACAAAGTTGAATATAATAAAAACAAACAATTAAAGTGGGACAGTGCAGCTATGGTCTGGTGGTCTGGTGTGGTGAACAGGCCGAGTCTAAACAGGGACGAGTTGAGTTTGGATTAGAAAGTGAGTCACGGGTTTCACAGCCAGGGCCCTTCTTGAAAAGTCCAGTGCAGCTTCTTTTCATACAGTGAAGAGAGGCTGTATATGATTTGGAACTGTATATTATTTGGGTTGTTTAGAGTGGTTTTATAAAAGTAGACCATGTTAGTTTGTTGTTATAAGTTCTGCTAGTCTCCACAAGACAAAGACAAAGTTTTGTAATAGTTAAGACTCAAGAAATAAACTCTGCTTGTTTATTGTATGGATATAAACAAATGTACATGTGTTTCAGTAAATACACATTTTTCTGGTGATTAGACAGTATAGTGTTCATGTCAGTCTTATGTATAATTAAACCAGATTATTGTTAAATCGACAGTATAATAATAGATTGTAATTAGACCAAAGTATATTGTGAAACCCACTGTAAAATGTATTTTTTATTATTTTGTAAAAACATACAATGACGTGAGGCTGCACTGAACTGAAGCTCACCGTCTTTTGTCTCAGTATTTTCTGTGTTTATTCAGGGTTTTCTTCTGTGGGGACCTGCCCCCTCGACCGGACAAATAACATGTGCATGTCCTTCATCAACACAGTGAAAACTAAAAAATAAGAGAGAAAATTGCTCGGCTCTAAATACGATACTTGAAAATAATACAAAAAAATATATATATTTACCATGTTTGCTGTTTGCTGGTAGCTACATACAAGTAACATATTTTGAAATTAAAGAACTCTATTTTTCTCTATTGTCTTTTTCTCTCTTTCGTGGCTACTGTTTTTCTCATTTACTTTTATTTAATTTTACTAATAAAAAGATCAACTTTTAATAAGAGCAGTGTTTTGACACATCTTAATCTTTTAAGACAGTAATAGTAGTTGTAGTTGTAGTAGTAGGATTAGTATTAGTAGTTAGTATAGTAGTAGTAGTAGTAGTCAGTAGTAATAGTAATAGTAATAGTAGTGGTAGTAGTAGTAGTAATAGAAATAGTACAGGTGGTAGTAGTAGTAAGTAGTAATAGTAAAAGTAGTAGTTGTAGTAGTATTAGTAGTAATAGTAGTGGTAGTAGTAGTAATAGTAATAGTAAAAGTATAGTAGTAGTATTAGTAGTATAGTAGCCGTAGTAGTAGTAGTTGTACTAGTATTAGTAGTAATAATAGTAATGGTAGTAATATTAGTGGTAGTAGTAGTATTAGTAGCAGTAATAGTCATGGTAGTAATAGTAGTAGAATTAGTAGTAGTAATAGTAGTGGTCTTAGTAGTAGTTGTATTAGTAGTTATCGTAGTAGTAGTAGTAATAGTAGTAGTAGTAGTAATAGTAATAGTAGTAGTAGTAGTAGTAGTAGTAGTAGTAGTAGTAGTAGCAGTCTTTTAAACAGATATGCAGCAGAATAATTTAGAGTAATTTTTGGACTGACTTCTAACGTTACTACAAAAACAAATACACTGTTCATTTCATTCTTTTACACCATCACTCTGAAATATGAATTAAAAAACAATATTCTAACTGTAAAATAAAAACAGCAGCTGATTTTACACAAAGTTTTGTTTATTTTCAAGTAGAAAGTTACAGCGGCCGCAGATATTTACACTCATGTACAGTTAACGGGCACAAAGCTACGTCTATGGAGACTTAAAGAGCAAAACTCCAACAGAGGAAACACAGATCGTCCTTATGAACTATGACTGCTTATATTTACAGAACAGACCAGTCAAACTGTCAGTGCAGTGCATATTTTAAACTATTTTTGGATTTCTGAAACCTTCCTGACAACGTCTGATACAACCACAGCAACTGAAGTTTGAGGTTGGTTTATGGTTTATGGTTTACGGTTTATGGTTGACAACAGCAGTAGTTTGGTCCAGAGGTTCCAGATCATTTTCAGGTTGACTGGTGAAAATGGCGGGTGAAAAACAAAACAAAACACATTTGTGCATCAAACCCTGTCAGAAAGGTCTCAAAAATCCACAAATAA